AGAGATGGCCCAGCAGTTAAGAGCACTAGCTGCTCATGCAGAAGACCCAGTTTTAACTCCCAGTGCCCACATAACTACTATTCTGTCACTCCTGTTCCAGGATATCTGCCACCGTCTTCTGGTCTCCAGGGACACTGCACACCCACAGTGCATAGACACACAAGCTGGCAAAACACTCTTACACATAAAATAAAAATAAAAAGGAAAAGCTTTCCTGTATTTGTTCTCTGGTTGTTTTCCAGCTTCAGATCTTAGGTCTAGTTTTTAATTCTAAGTTAATTTTTGTCCATTTTGTAAGACAAGGATCCATGTGTAATACATGTGTGTAAGACTTTTCATAAGAAATGGAAGTAAAAATTGGTGAGTAGACTAATTTTCTTCAGTATATAAAACATTTCTCTATCTCTAAATATACATTAAACATATAATTACTTATTAAAATAAAAAATCTATAGGGGAAAGCTAATGAATATGTTTTGTACAATGAATCAATTTATAAAATATGTTTAAAAACCCATTTTCTTTTTTGTGGAAAGGAAAATATTTATTATTATTAATATTACTATTATTATTAAGAAATTTTCTATTCATTTTACATACCAAGCACAGATTCCTCTCTCCTCCTCCCTCCCATTCCACAGCCTCCCCAGCCCATTCCCACCTCCTTCAAGGCAAAGGCTCCCATGGGGAGTCAGCAGAGCCTGGCACATTCAGCTGAAGCAGGTCCAAGCCCCTCCCCCTGCACCAAGGCTGTGTAAGCTGTCACCCCATAGGCACTGGGCTCCAAAAAGTCAGCTCATATACCAGTGGCAGATCCTGATTCCACTGCCAGGGGGCCGCTTAAACAATTCAAGCTAGACAACTGTCTTGCCAATGCAGAGGGCTTAGTCCAGTCTCATGGAGATTCCACAGCTATTGGTCCACAGTTCATGAGTTCCTACTAGTTTGGTTTGGTTGTCTCTGTACATTTCTCCATCATGATCCTGATGTCCCTTTCTCATAGAATCCCTCTTCTATCTCTTCGACTGGACTCCTGGAGCTTGGCCTGGTGCTTGGCTGTGGATCTCTTCATCTGCTTCTATCACTTACAGTTTTGTACAATGAATCAACTTATAAAATATGTTTAAAAATCTATTTTCAATAAAAAATTAAAAAGTAGTTACACATAAAATAATGAACATTCTTATGATATTCTTATGCGTATCTGTAACATGAATCTTTAGAAGGTCTCGCCAATTCCTCAGCTGATTCTGTTTCCTCAGACTGGAAGCCTCTGTGTCTTCATCCAGAACGAATCTCAGATGAACTGCTGCTAACAACCTGAAAGCTTAACCAGGCTCTAGTTCCTGGTCCTCACTACTTACATACCTTTCTGCTTTCTGCCATCACTTCCTGGGATTAAAGGCGTGAGTCACTATGCCTGGCTGTTTCTAGTGTGCCTTCAAACTCACAGAGATCGAATGGATCTCTGCCCTCCAAGTGATAGGATTAAAGGCGTGTGTGCCACCATTTTCTGGCCTCTATGTCTATCTAGTGGCTGTTCTGTCCTCTGACCATAGATAAGTTTATTAGGATGCACAATATATTGGGGGACACAATATATCACCACACATATCTTTGTATTTTTACCACTTGGGGTCTCCCCAATTCTATATGGAATTTAGGATTATTTTTTCCAGTTCTATGAAGAATGGCATTGTAATTTGATGGAGAATAGTATTGAATCTGTGGCTCATTTGATAAGACAGTTATTTCTATTATTTCTGCTAATCCATTAGCATAGGCTGTCATTCCATCTTTTTTTTTTTTTTTTTTGTGGTTTTTCGAGACAGGGTTTCTCTGTGTAGCTTTGCGCCTTTTCCTGGAACTCACTTGGTAGTCCAGGCTGGCCTCGAATTCACAGAGATCCACCTGGCTCTGCCTCCCGAGTGCTGGGATTAAAGGCGTGCGCCACCACCGCCCGGCATGTCATTCCATCTTTTAATGTTTTCTTTGATATATTTTTTCAGTGTCTTAAAGTATCCACTGTAGAAATCTTTCACTTTTATATGCTTGGCTAGTTTTATTTCAGTGATGTTTGGTTTTGTTATTGCTTTTTTTTCTTTTTTTTTTTTTTTTTTTTTTTTTCAGTATAGTGAGGTCTGTATTGTGGCTCACTGGATAAAGATATCTGCCACTTACCCAATGACCTGAGACACACAGAGTGGAAGAAGGGAACCAAGTCCTTTAAGTTGTCCTTTGATCTACACACACACACACACACACACACACACACACACACCACCGTCACCACCGCCATCATCATACATTCCCGATAAATATATAAATAAATATAGTTTTCACCCTTTCCTTCCTCCATCCCCTAAAATGACTCCTCCTTCTCATTCCCCCATCATCTCTCAAATTAACAGCCACTTTTTCTTTAACTACTTTTGCTATTCACATACACACTACATACACATTCTTTTATTATTATTGTTATGTGTCTGTACACACATATATACATAAACAAGTTAAATATTTAAAAATGGATGTTCTTTGGAAGGTATAAAGATGACTCAGCAGTCAAGAGCACTAGCTGCTTTTGCACAGGACCAGGTTTCTCTTTCCAGCATTTACATGGTGGCTTACAATCATTATTGACTTCAATTCCACAGGATCTGATTCCCTCTTCTCTCTAGGCACCATGCACACACATGTTGCACGTACATAGATGAGGGCAAGCACTCATACACACAAAATAAATAATAAAAATTTAAAATGTCATTTGATCTTCACAAAATGTAAGTTATAACTTATTATTGATTGATATCAATCCATTAGTAATTATTTCAGAAAAATCATTATTCAATGCAAACCAGCAAGTCAATTTGGGCTTGATATCTTCCCAAGATCAGTGATCAGCCAGGTTAACTAACATCATGATTCTTAATATTTATATTTCTGTCAGAACTTCTTGGTAGAAAATGTCCCACACATTTATCAGTTTTACTGCTTACATAATTTAAATTAATTTAATTATACAAAGTACACCATAGATTTTATTTTTTTTGAGAAATAGAGTAGTTCATAATGTGGAAAATACTTTTCTGTGAATAAAAACATTCACAGTTCTGAGTTTATCATTACAATTATTTTTAAATATTTTAAATAGATATGAAATATCTTTAACCATATAAGCAAAGTCATTCTCCAAGAACTGGTCCTACCCCATAATAATAATAAACAGCCACTCTGGAGGCCAGCTGATGGCTTCCCTAGAGTTTAATGTAAGCTGCTTCTGCCATCACCATAATTTTCATTGCTACATAAATAAAAGCAAAAAAAAAAAAAACATACCTGAATGAGACCAACATCAAACAGCCAAGACAAAATGTACAAATATCTACTGAAAAGAGCATACTGTTGGAACAAAATGGGACATGAATACATTAACACAGTCATGGAAGCTTCATTATTTTCACAGAAATTACTTGTTTATATAATTAGAACAGTTAATTTCATTAAAATAAAACACTTGCATCTTTTCTTCTTATAAGCATGCCCAAACAAATAAAACAAATATGCAAATTAGAATAATAATTCTTGTTATTATAAGATTGCAGCTTTAATTTATGTCAGATAATATTCTTTGGGTAAAAAGGAATGATGAATAATGTTAATGAATGCTCTATCCTGATTTCATCATATTTACCCTGTCTTCCTAACATGCTAATAAATTTGGGACCCGAATCTCTCTCTCTCTGTTTCTGACTCTCTCTGTGGTGTTGGGAAAGAGAGAGATTATATATATATATACATATGGCAGGGAGAAAGGAGATGGAAAGAGAGGAGGCTGTCTTGTAGAGCCATTAGAAAGTTTGGTATTTTATAATACCAAATTTGAGGTATTGAGGATTTGAAAACAGGAAAATGTAAGCATCAGCAACAGAGGCTTGCAAAGAGAGAACATTCTATGTACCTACATTAGATATTCTAAGTGTAAGCAGCAGCCTAAGGGAACAAACAGAAAGAGATGGATTTGGCATGATTGAGAGCTTGGAAATAATGCCCTAACCCAGTGCTTAGACCAGAGGTGGCAGGTCTCATCCCCAGGGTTCCTTCTGAGAGGCTCTGATGAGGCTTATGTTGAAAGCATTGACGATAGTTAGAGTTTGGACCCACTGATGATGCTACAATGAACAACCAAACTAAAAGTCGTTTCTTACCTCTAGCTAGCTAGAATTAACTTCCATCCTTCCTTCCAAACTACAGGACACAAAGTTTCAATAAAAGCACCTTTACAAAATAGTGATTTTCACGAATTCTTTATGCCCATCATTGTCTTGCTAACAGTTTGGTAATATAAAAGTAAATAGCAAAATTGCCTACAAAACACAATTTTTAAATTAGTTGGTATGACCAAAAATATGATATCAAATAAACATATATTCAAATATACACACATGTAAATGTTTATATATAAGTACATTTTGTAATGACAAAATCAAGCTTCTTAACATACATGCTACCTTATATACTTACCATTTGAGTAGCAAGAACATTTTAAAAGTCTGAACTTTGGAATTTTCAGAAATATAAGGTACTATTATTAATTATATTTGATATGAGGTATAATAGATCTCTTCAAATCATTTCTTCTAAGTGAAATTGTTAGAATGTATTAATCTGTATATTTATACAGGGTTATCTTGTGATAATTTATTATGCACACATTTTAATGAACAATAAAGAAAATATGCAGACTTTGTCTTTGTAATTGGTTATGAAGCTATGATTATTCTTTTGCATTTCATTTCCTTTTTATTGAATGCTTCTGTTGACTTGATCATTCTGAATTTATTACCTAATGGGTTAACTCCAAATTTTCTACAAGTGAATCTAAATGCTCAGTAGTCCTGACCTTTGTTATGGTTGTAAAAAGAAAATTTTTTCTTGTAATTCTCATAAATGTAGGAGGACTTTTTCTGTCCAGCCTGCCAGATCCCAAATAATCAAACAAAGACTTACTATTAATTATGAACCCTCCACCAATAGCTTAGGCTTGCTCTTTGATAACTTAAATTAGCCCACTTCTATGAATCTATGTGCTGCCCAAAGGCTTGTTTACCTCGTATATGTATTGTCCATCCTGCTTTCCTGCTTCCTCTGCATCTGGCTGGTGACTCCCTTTTCTTCTTCCCTGTATGCAGAAGTTTCTGTTCCACGAGTTGCTCCCATGTAACCACATAGAGACTTAATATTAATTATAAATTCTAGGCTGATAGCTCAGGCTTGTTACTAACTAGTTCTGACAACATAACTTAACCTGTATTTGTTATCTAAGTTCTACCATGTGACTCATGGCCTGTTACCTCATTTTGTACATGTCCTGCTTTCTCTGTATCTGACTGGTTACTTGTCTGACTGCTTTTCTTCTTCCCAGCATCCTCCTACTCTACCTCCCCTGCCTAATCTCTCCTGCCCAGCTATAGGCCAGTCAGTTCTTTATTAACTAATGAAAGTAATACATATTTACAGTGTATAAAGATTGTTCCACAGCACTGACCAGCGTTCTCTCTTCCACAAAATCCTACTTAGTTCTTGGCCATTTAATTTTTATTAAACCAATCACAGTGATACATCTTCACACAGTGTAAGGGGATATTCCACAACACACAAATTTCAGAGAACTGTGCTCTTTTTTCTTCTCTTTTTAAAATTTTAATTCTATTGAAAATAGATTCCTTTCACATACAATACATCCTGACCAGTTTTCCCTCCTTCCACTCCTTCTAGTTCCCCCCACTTCCCTACTCTTCCAGATCTACTCCCCCTGTTTCCTTTTCAGAAAGGATCAGGCGTCCATGTTCTGATGACAGCCCATCAGAACAAAACAAGATACAATAAGACAAGACAAAAGCCCTCATGTCAAGGCTAGACAAGGCCACCCAAAAGCAGGAATAGAGTCTCAAAAAACAACAACAACAATAACAACAACCAAAATAAAACAAACAAACAAAAAGCCCCCTCCGAAAAAACCGACTAAGCTAACAACCATCAGATACATGCAAAGGACCTGGTATAGAACCACAACGTCCTGTACTTGCCTCCTCAGTTTCTGTGAGCCCATGTGAACCCTGGACAGTTTATATACTTTATCTCATTTAATTTTCAGGAACCTCTTTTAGAATAGATATCACATGATAAGATCTTGACATGCTTATCTTTGAGCTTTCCTTATGTCCAGAATTTCTAGCCCCTTCTCACACTGTCTTAGAAGAATTTATCTTTTTAAATCTCCAGAATGCAGTTAAGAAATGTATATATGCTTCTTATCACAGTATCTATTTAGCACTAAATTTGAACTCCATTTGGATTGCTCTTGGCTTAGGTCAAGTTTGTCAAGTAATGTCTCATATACAGAAACAGAAGATAAACAGAGTAGCATGGCTAAGACTCATTTAAGAAAACAATTTAGTCATGACTATTTTTTAAATGCTATTTCTTGAAAACCATTCATTAGGGATTGAACTACTAACTGTCAAATGAAACTAACTTTGCCCATTCATCCTCTGATACCTACAATGCATCATCATTGAAATGTGTGATGTTGTGTAGCACTTTCCTCAGAGATTGAAACATTCCATCCTTCAGAGAAGTTCTTTAAATAGGCAGGTAAACAACTCTAAATAGCCTCAGGAAGTCCCTGAAAATGATCAGATCCTGATCTGAGAATCCGAGAACCCCTCTCAAACAAAAGGAAGCTGAACTGCAAAGAAGACTTTCAGAAGAGACAGGTTGAAAAGATGACTGACACCAGAGTAGTTAGTTGTCTGGAAGAAGCAGAAACCAGTTGAGCTGCCTGGAAGAGATTTAGACCACAGTTGCCTGGAAAGGACACTCTCCAACTTGCTGAACTGCCTACAGCCTGTGCAGTGTGTTTCAGGTTCTGAGCTTTGTGACCTGTCAGCAATCCTGAGTGGGCTTTGCTAATGCAGCTGTTTGTTTTAGTCATTTCTGCTCCTGTAAATAACTTACCACCCATATTCCTGTAAGTAACCCCAGTAAATCTCATTACTTCGCCATGTTGAACTTTAGTAATATACATACTTTGGTCTGTCGTGGGCTGCCTATCTGGGGTAAGTAGGTGTGTGTTGAGTCTCCACAGGAAAAGTTTTGTCACACAGCAATGGAAAGCATGAAAACCAATGGAGAAAAATCAGAGCCCTTTAAATGATGTCTTGACCATAAACAAGAATGATAAGAGTGAGAAGTTAGAAGCTAAGTAGTAAGATTCCTGTAAACATAACCTATTTGGGCTTTAAGGATATGAGCAGCATATACTATTTCCTCTTAACAGACCAAGTGTTAGGGATACTTAGTGCATCTCTTGAGAAAAAGTCAAACTAAGAGTAGGATCTCTAACAAACAAGTGAGCAAAGCAAGACTGCACTCGAGGCCATCCTCACTCTCCAGCTCAGGGTCTCAGTAAGAAGCCAATCTAAATCATTCACTCTTCAGTGTGTCTAGAACCAGGGTGTGAAGTAAACTTAGTTAGCTCAGTTTTCAAGATCCTTAGATGCTGTAATTTATTGTAGATAATTTAAAATTTGTATAGTTCTTCTAATGAAAAAAACAAACTTGGTTGATAATCACAAGGGAATATCAAGGGATGTTTTTCTTAATTACTTCTCAGCTTGTTTGGCTATAAATAAATCAAAATTTTTTCATCTAAAAGTAGTATTCAGCAGCAGGTCAATGTTAGGAAAGCAATAAAACAATACCCTAGTCTTAAAGAAAATTAATGAAGCCCCCTGATTACAATTACCTAACATATCACTCAATTTTAACAAGTTATGACAATATTTGAATGAGATGTAGTCTAATTTCTGGTTTAGCAATATTCTCTTTTTTATAACACAATCAAGTTTATTCCACTTAGCCTTGTAACACAAATTATAAATGCAGTATTAGTTTGCTCTTGGTAGAGATTAACTACAAAATTATCAAGAAACTCACTCTGTCAAAGTAATGACAATGTCAGAAATTGTACTCAAATATACCAAAATACACAAATCACTAGGCTTCTTCCATACTACTTGGTGTTTCTCACTTTGTAAAATTAAATAAAGATAATTTCAATTTTAAAATTTGGCATGCAAAACCTTGCAATTGTTTAATTGTGTAGAAGGGCTGTCCTTCCAGTGTCTTCTATATACAACTGATACAATCTTGTACGGAAGAAAACAGCAGCTCAGCTTTAAAAAAAATATCAAACAGGTACAAGTTAACCTTTAGGGAATGAGATCAATTAATAATGGGCCTACTTTTTGCAGTTTCTATACTATTTAGAAAAGCAATACTGTTTGTTATTCTTCTTTATCCTTTCATGCTATCAATTCAGACATGTCTGTCAGCCTAAAGTTTTCACAATAAATTATTTTTACATTTAATTTTTTTTAAAAAAAATTTCACTTCAGTGAGTAACTCAGAGCACTTGTGAGGTGGTTAATACTAAATTATTGCCAATAAGATTACTCTAATAGTTCCCAGTCACATAAATCATGTTGCTGACACTTCATCTATTGACTGGAGAGAAATACCCTCTTGAAAACATGATCCAAGTGTAATGGTATTTTGGATAGAAGAAGAGGTACTTTAGCCAACTTGAAGCATATTACAGAAGCATCAAGCTATCAGTCCTCAACACTGTGTGTACTACAATAAGCTCCCATTCTGAGTATTTCAGCAAAGTTCCAAAGACCTTTCTATAAAAAAACATAATTTATATAAAAAGCATAATCATAAAGATAGATACTTTGTACATATAAGCATATTTGAATTTTGAATTCTAAAGTTTAAATTCCATCATCCCATCATAATCATATTATTAATTTATAAAGCACTTACAATATACAGATCACAGGATGGTTTTTTATTTTGTTCCTGTTGAAAAAAATCCAGATTTATCAAGAGTTTATGGTTCCTTTTATACTACATATTGGTTGGGGATCTTAATTCTGTCACTTCCCATGTGTATACCTCTCTATTTCCAGATGGGGGTGCGCAGAATACATACCTGCAAGACCTTTTTGCTTCTGCATTAAAATAAAGATGAGAACAATAGCTATACAATACATAACAACAATGGCTGTTCCCAGTGGGTCAAGAAGAGTACTTAGAAACAACTTTAATTGTAAGATTAACTGCATAATGAAAAGCCCCACTTATTTGGATAGAAGAATCAGTAGAGGTGATATTAAAGCATAGATCTGAATTCTATCATCCTCCTTTCCTATGGGCTGCATTCCTTCCCCAATGCCTCCATTTTGAGTCATATTTAATTGGCAAAATCCTATAATATTATTAGAGGCTAATGAGATAGAGATATGAGTTTTAATATTTTCCCTGAAACTCTTTTTAAAATTGGTTCCTGTTGTGGCAACATGAGCAGAACTTTATTTGCTTATTTATTTTTTTTAAAAAAAGTGATGTGTTGTCTTTATTAATTTTTATTTTTATTATTTAAAACAAGTTTTAAATTTAGATTTATTTTGATCATATTCTTCCCCTCCTCTAAGTTCTTCTAGATCTTCCCTCCTCACTAACCATCCAATTTTTACTTTTTTCAAAAACCAAAAATATGCAATACAACAACCCCCCAAAAAAACCAAGAAAAAATAATAAAAGAACCCCTCCAAAACCCACCAATCTGCAATCAAGTAAAAGCACATACTTGCACACACAACCAAAACCAAAACCAAAACCAAAGTAAAACCAAAAGCAAATAAACTCTGGAGTCCATTATTTGTTGGTCAACTACTCCTGAACTTGAGATCTGCCCTGAAGTGGTTGATATACCCATTGCCACTCCATTGGGTAAACTGATGGTCCCTCTCCTAGCATGTATAAATGACATTTCAGATGTTAACCTTTACCCTAGTGACTAGGTTTTCATTTATTCATTCATTCATTTTTAAATATAAGAAAACAATATATAATAAGATAAAACAAAACCTATTCCTTGGAAATAGGATAGAACAAACAAAAGAAAAAGAGCCCAAAAGAAGGCACAAGACTCACTCGTTCCACCTCAGAGACCCACTCGTTCACACACTCAGAAACCCAGTAGAAGTACTAAACAGGAAGCCACAATATAAATGTACCAGCCAGATGCAGACCCAGAATTTTAAAAGGGTTGAATTGTTAATAAAGACAACAAGGTCAATTGTCTCCTGAGCTTGACACAATTCTCTTCTGCTTTGCCTTCACACACCTGCCTGTCCCTCTGCCTTCCAACATGGTTTTCAGCAGAATAGGTCCTTCCCTTCATCAGAAGCTGAGCACTAACAATTGCATTTCCCAACCTCCAGAAATGGGAAACAGAATAATCCTCAATAATAAAATCAGTTCTTTGGTCTTTAGTTATAGTGACAGAAAGTGAATAAAAGCAAGAGTTTTGTTGATGTTGTTTTTCAGAAAACTAACATAGAAGAACAAAAGATTTACACTTGAAATTTCCTAATGTGAGCTTGCTTTGCATCCTCATACAGTAGAGTGCTTCAAAGCCAACAGCACTTAAAAAACAGTGATTTCAAAAGCAGGGTGACAAGTACAGGGACTGAAAGTGGTTTTCTCAGTGACGTTTGTGGGCTGAAAATACTTGAGAACAAGTTTAGCATAGATACAAACAGAAAAGTAAACCATATCAGCAGAAAGGTGGATTCAAGGACCTATCAGGACTCTGGCAAAGTCAGAAGCAGAAGATCTTTAGTAAATCCAATAAGGGTTTGGCCTAGTCACAGGGACTAAAGAAACATGAGTTTTAAATCTGTAATTAAACAGTTTCTACTTGGAATGATGATTGTGTTCTCATACAAACTGTTTTAAGACGCAAAACTGTAGAGTGAGTCAAGAGGAATTTCAGAGGGAGATTTAAGCTGATTCCTTTTAGGAGAGAATAGTTCCATGGAATTATAGAGCCTGATCAAGGGTCTGGAACAAGATGCTTTCATGTCCTTTGCTATTTTCGAATCTTGGAAAACAGACTTGGAAATTATGCCCTGGAGTCAGAATCATATTATGAGATGTACAAGTTGGAATATGGTTATTTGCTTCTCAAATTCTGGCTAAAAATTTGTTTTGTGAAGATTATGGCAATGCTCAGAGGTAGAGACTTTAGGGAATTTGCGCCATTGTTCTCATTCCTTCTTTTTAAGTGCTACAACTTAATATTAGGGTAACTGTTGCATGAATGAATAGAAGAGGATAATAATTCATCTTCAATCTGGAAACATATTCTGAAGATCCTTTGCCATTTAGACTCAACCCCAGATCTTTTCACAATAGCTAGGATTATTTGAAAAGGTTAGAAATGAGAAGAAGATACAAAAACAACAACAAAAAAATTAGGCTTGTAAAAATCAGGAGGCAACAGATTACACTAAGAAGCCTAATAAGAATAACCATAGAAAAAATTATCTTCTAACTTCAAAATAATAGGCTAAAAGTAAAGGAATATGGTTTCTCAAACATTTGCTCTGCATTTCATATGTTCATTTATGGTATTCATTTGTTTGACAAATATTGTTAGTATCTATAGTATGTCAGCAACTACACTGTGAAGGAGAGCTAATGCAATGCAGAGGTGATGAACAAAGTTTTTAGACCACTGGAGTTTGCAGTCCAGTATGGATGGTTGAAGAGGAAATAACATAGTAAATGGTCATAGTGGTTAATAGGGTCAGAAATGCCACCTGCACATGGAGCCATCTGAGATAGTGTTGAGGAGGAAGATGACCCTGAAGTCTTTGGCTTCTTGAAATTACTGCAGTGAACAAAAGAAACCAATTTAATCATTTTAGTTTCCATGATCCCAGAGCTATGATTCTTGTAAGATTGTGAATGGTGGAGGTGAAGAAGTAGGACCAAGGTAATGCTAGATCATGTACAGTTCTCAGTATGCCAGTATCATTCCAAAGGTCTATGAATGGAGAAGTACTATTGCTATAGTATGATAAAAAAAATACAGATAGAAAAAAAAGAAAGAATAAAGGAAAAGGAAATAAATGGGCCTAAACATCCAACACTTAGGTGGATAGAAATATGGCATAATAAGCCAGAGTCAGGTAAAACAATTTAATATTTAAAGGAGGAAATCACAAGCACTTAAACTTGTTAACACTGAAGGGATTAGGGGAGGTTAAGTATTTTTAAATATTTCACTTTGAATGGAATGTATACTTTGGAGGTGTTTCAGAAATAATGTGGTAAGGTATTAGCGACCTAAACGCTTTCTAAACAAAAAAAGTTCATTGAACACACTGTCTTAAAACTCACTGGGTCACAAACACACATTGAACTAGATTGGGGTGATTTGAGAAGAAGAAAGAAATTAACTGGGGTGGAAGGGAACTAAAAGTGTAGTGGGGTTGAAAATGAATGAAATGCATTATGTGCATCATGAAACCACCATATGGAAATCCATTGTTATGTATAATTAATGCATGTTAATACAAACAAAATAGATTGATCTTGAGTGTCTCTAAGGATATTTATCAAGATTTAAAACTTGTGATACAAAGAACTCAAGACTGCATTAAAAGAAAGAATGAGAATTTATGTCTAATTTTTTCTGTTCTTCAAGAATCAAAGCACATTAAACAAGGTCCTTGTTTCTTGCCTATAGTGTTATTTGTTAATACATTACCAGCCTGCACTAACTTCTTATGTGACAAAGGAAGAAATCATGGACTCCAGACTTAGTATCATATTTATTTGTAGCAACCATTGAGCGAAAGTTGGAAGATTTTAGAGAATCAGAGTCACAGCACACAATTTCCTCATTAAAACATGTAAATAAACACTAAAAGTCCAGCTACACTGTTGACAATATTGGAATGTGAGACACTTAAGAACTAAGAAATAAGCCAATAAGCCACAACACAACTACACAGAAACCTGTGTGTATACAGACGAGAGGAGACAGCAATACCATAACACAACAGAAAGACGCACACATCTGTATGCTCTTGCCTCCTGGGAAGTCACCCTTTCCCATAATAGAATATTTTGTAACTTGTGTGTACGTATTCTAAATTTTAAAGTATTCATTTATCATAAAATTTTGATGACATGCTATAATTTGGTACAAATTAAAAGAAATAAGATATTTTAAAGTTAAAGGAGTATACTATATTCTAAACTTTTCATAATGAAATTGGCTTTTATTCTATATCTGCAGGGAACATATGTCACAAAGTTGTTTTGGAAATGATAAATTACAACTTAGCAGAAAATACTTTAGATTTCTACATAGAAATCATTTCATTATTATGAGTCAGTCAAAAGATATTTCATCTGTGGTAGTCAGAAATGAAATGACAGATTGTTAAGAGGGTGAACTTTGAATCGATAGAGATGAACACATGGCTACAGAAATAATTTATTGGGAAATTCAAATGAAGCTAATGGCAAAATATTAAAAGAAAATTCAAACTTTAAAAATTATTCTGCTCTCAAAATTCAGGATGTCATTTTTTCAGAGTTTTGCATACATATCTTGCTTCTCTTTATAATCATGTTTGTGTTAAGTGTCCCTGAATGATACACTGTTTGGTTTTATCTGACTTTTTTAGGAATTGATTCAGATAGCTGTAACTAGAGTTTTCCTGCGATGCCCACAGTCAGGACAAATCTTTGTCACCTGCTAGTCCCACAGCCGCTCAGACCCAACCAAGTAAACACAGAGACTTATATTGCTTAC